AATAATGGAAAGGAACCATCCACCTTAAAGATGGATGCAAGTAGGTGTTTCATCTAAAAATAATGAAAACTAACGGTTCAAATGTTTTCTTACTAAAATTGTTTTTAAAATTTATTTATTTATTTTTATTCATGATTTCCATCTTATGAATTACATGTCTTTAAAAATTAAGTCCTGTAATCCATCTCAAAAAATAAATTTATCAAGAGGCTTGCATTTCTACATATGCGGGCTTGACCGTATAGAAAACGGGTCTTTATACGAGAAGATGCTTTATGGTTTTTGGTGGGCTTCTCTTTATGATAGGTGGGCCCGATATAATAGGTGGGCCCGATAAAATAGGTGGGCCATAGGCTTCCCCGATAAAATTAAAGAGTACCTCTTCAAAATGACGGTAGTATTGCACCACCATCTTTAATAAAAAAATTTCGAAATATCAAATATTGGGGAAAAGAAGGTCGGGACTAATGAAATAGCTGTCAGCTCACAGGGGAATTGGCCGGTTGTCGATATTTTTTGAGCTTTGGATCGGCTTGACAATATGAAATTTGAATTGGCCCGACCGATTGATTTGAGATCTAGATTGGCCAATTGTCATTCGGATCACAGATTTTTAAAACTTGATCTTTATGAATTTTAACAATAATCATTCTTGTTAATGTTCCCCCAACAAAAAAAACAAAGAAAGAAAACGGTAATCAAGCATTAAGACATGAGAATAAAGAGAATGATTGAGAGAGATACCATGACTATACTCACTTGAAAAATAATGAAATTTTTTAAAAGCTGTTTAGTTCAGTTATTAAAAAATTTAATTAAGAAAAAAAATGTACATAAGGTGTCAATTTTATAATGTTGAAATAGGGTGCACCTCAATAACCCACTAAAAAAATGAGGCTTAGTTGTTTAAACTTTACAAATGTACCAAGTTAAGAGAGTTTGTTTGCAGAACATTGTTTCTTGCCCCCTTCGGAGCTTCAATCTCATTGTTTTTACTTTTTATCTCGCTATACGCAGTATTTGATCCCCTCCGTGACCTTGAGACCAATTGATTGTTGGATCTAGTTCGATTCTAAGGTGAACAAGACAACTAGAAAACATAAAGATCAAGAAAATATAGCATGAATAACTATGTGAGTTATCGTCCATCAATAATAAAACATCTAGCTACAATCAAATATTTGAATGTTTAAAGCTTTAAATGTCCAACAATTATTATTTGCATAATGAATTGGTTGGCCCAATAAGATCTTCCATCATCATCAGTATCAGAG